TTTTACATTGTGAAGGTTGGCTCTAGCCTTGAACCGATGAAACCAGCCATGGTCGGCATTAAAAGATGTGCCCTCTGATTCTTTGCCGTGTTTCAAGTCTTCATAAAGGCTTTTAGCTTTCTCTTGAATCAGCATTAAGCTGAGTGGGACTTGACGCTGATGCTGACCCTGCACCCACATACTGAGAAGTTTCTCCAACTCCTTCATCACTTTTCCACGCTTCTTCGATATTATTGTCAACATCATCGGCACAGCAGACTTCACGTGTTCCATGACCTTGTCCTTGTTCTTTAGAATCATGCTGATGGTTGAACGATTCACGTTATAAGAATGAGCAATGTCTACCTTCTTTTCGCCTCATTCCACTCTCTCAATTATTTTCACTTTTGTTTCCATTGTTATTGCTTGGCGCTTCTTAGCAATACCAGCTATACGCTGCTTTTACGCTTGCTTCCGGACATCCTGGGCTTGAAATAAAGATACTGTACTACTGTACTCTATACAGTACCATAAAGTACACAAAAGCACAACCACTTGCAGAGGATGCACACACGTGACAATGTACACCAGACACGTGAACTAACTTGTGTGACTGGTCACGCGAACTCGTGTTCACATCTCTGAAAGTTCACAACTTGAAGGTTTGTATGTAGGGGACTTACTGTATTACAGGAAACACAACTCAGAAGGTTATGAAACAATTATAAGTAAAGCAATAATAACTTTTACATACAGATATCTGGAGGTGCAGTGGCCACATGAGACTCATCAGAACCTGAAGATCCTGCAGTTGAAAAGGCTCTGGGATTGACAACCCTTTTAACTAAAGAGCAAAATCCTGGGAGATAGGAAACCAGTCTGGCTCTGTTACAGAGCACCTAAGAAGGACACAAAAATCAAAATTATTCTGGATATAAATGCTATACTAACACAGACAATCTCTGGCAAATCCTCACATTGCAATATATCTTTTAAAACCAATGTTTATTCTACTATTATTGAGCAGCTACCACAGGATAAGCATCATGTACATTTATAATTTTAGAAATAAATACAAATATTTAAAAAACAAGTAATAAGTTACTTTGGGTAAAAATATATGGCTTTCCCAAGGCCAGAATTAAGAGTGCCATACAGAAAGAATGGGAACCTCTAAAAGTTGCCCTATTTAGTGATGATACTAAAAAGGTAACACAACTGATAAGATTCTATTCTCAAAATAAAGAACTTTCAAAACCTCTCCTAGAAACAAAACCTATTTACTTTCTAACTCTTCTCTTCTTTTACTGCTGTAAATTGTACTAATTATCTACCATACCATCTTTCCTCTTTCTTTAATGGCAATGTCCACTTTCCTCCGTTTTAGCACACAACTTTGTGATACATTTTCTGCTCTTATGTTCATTCCCTAGATTCTGAGGTCAGTTACAATGGAGGAATGTGTAAACATCTTTCACATACAAACTTTAATCAAAATACTTAAGTCAGAATAATTTAATGCAGGGGTTGGCAAACTATAGCTGAATATAGCCTTCTGTCTGTTTTGGTGAATAAAGTTTTATTGCCATACCCATTTATGTATGGTCTGTGGCTGCTTTCATGTCATAATGGCAGAGTTAAATAGCTTCACAGAGACTCTACGGCCTACAAAGCCTAAAATATTTGCTATCTGGCTCTTTATATTAAAAAAAGAAATCGCTGACTCTTAGATTAGTGGAAAACATGTAAGAACAAATACCATATCATCTGTGAAATGCTATCAAAAGATCTGAATAATTAAGAGACCCTTGAGGACATAGGCAAAAAGTTTCATGGAGGATATACTTAGTTGTGAAGAAATAGAAATTTGCTGGGGAAAGGGCATTTCAATGAGTGACTATCAGGAACAAAGGGATGGAGTCATAAAGGATGTACTCAGAAGAGTGACAAGTTCACTGAAGGTGGATATAAGGTAGTGCAGTAAAAAACAAGCTTGAAAGTTAACTTGTGGGCAACTTTAAAAGGCTTTATACTTGACACAGACAGGAAAGGGCCTGTTATATCAAGATAATAAATCAGAATTTTAACCTGTAGGCAGGGAGGAAAAGAGTAAACTGATAAAAATAAAGGATGTTTTAAGGAATGTACCACTAAGGGCAGTGTAGAGAATGGAGTGGGATTAGAGAGGTGGTATGAAAAATAGTTACCAGGATGTTGAAATAGTCTAGATACTGTAGAATCACTCTTTTTCCCTTTCACATAGTATTCTGAAATCCAGCCCTGTGTTCCTTCTGACTTTCTCATCCTAAGTACAAGAATACATCCTAACTGGTCGTTCTACTTCTCTGACATAATTTCTTACTCATTTTATCCCTCCTTCTCTTACTCCACTCTTTAGTCACACAAAAATATCTACCCAAGTCTTCCCATATTTCTCTGCCTTCTTTATTCTGCCACAAGATTTCTTCTGCTAAAACGTCCTTTTCCCTCTCCTCCTAGGCCTGACAAATTCCAACTCTTTCTACAAGATCTGGATAGACAGAACCTCCTTTATATGTCTTCAAAATGCAAGACCTGTCTCCAGAGCATTCTGCCCACCTGAAAATTTAAGCATCCTCCCTTGGGTGTGCACCCAACCTGCTCAGAGACAAAAATGGTAATTCTCAGTGGTACAAGAAATTTGAATTGTATATCAACATTGAGCAATTGTGATATTTCACACAAAAGATCCAGACTTTCAGCTGTTCTTACAAACTCCAAAGATCTGGCAGTGCTGGATTCACATTCCCAAATGACATTAGTTGGCAACACATCACTGTAGCTAAGGAAAGGCTGCTCCCTTTATATCAGAAATGAGTATTTCAGTTTGTACAAGTCCCCACCAAGGCTTCTTAATTGACCTGTTCAGCCTCTGAAGCATAGACATACCTGACCCATGCTATGTATGCAAACTAAATTGTTGAAGACATACATATCTATCTTCATGTTTCATTAGTAACATCCATTCAGCACTTAAAATGCACATAAACGAACACAAATTTTTAAACATATATTTGAATATTGTTTTATGTAAACTTCTAACAATAAAAGTATCCTTCAAAATACCTACTGGATTAATTTATTCATTCAAATCAAAATAAAGCCAGGTCAAATATTAGCATACTACTCTAACTGGTATCTTTCCTTTGAGAGTAGCACATGCTTCTTTTACAACATTCCCTTCCTATGATTATGGCTAGGTATAAATTCACCTTAACACACGGGATACACTAGTGGTCTACTTTTACGACTTGGCCTTATAGTCTTACCATTAGGCTATTACTTAATATATCATATTTGACTACAGGAATACTCTCCTGGCTAACTGTTGCCATATTAGTCTTCCTAACACACAGCTCTAATTAAATCACCAAAATTTAAAGAATAAAGTCCAAATTACTGGGTTTGGCATTCAAGACTCTCTATTACATGATTCCAAATCCACAATCCAACCTTCTCACTTATCTCTTTCACACATTTTACATTCAAGAAGACAGAACTGACTTCCTGATTTTTGAAAGGGGGGGTGTCTTTGAATATACCTCCTGCTCTGCCCAACCAAACCTCAGATTATCTAATCCCACCCATCTTTCAAACCTCAAATGCTTCTCTGATTAAGTGAACACAAACCCCTACTTTTCCCTCTCCACAAAGCTCTGAATCTGCACTGTACCTTTGTGTAGGTTTTAAAATTAGTTTCAACTCTTATTGTAACTGTTTTAAAATATGTCTGTGTTCCCTATGGCAGGATGCGTTTGAGTAATCGCTGTACTGTTACAGTGAATAAATCTCTATGGCCTGTGAGAATAATATCTCTTGCGCCCATTGTGTAGTATTTGGAAGGTGACTTCCTATACTGAAACTGCTACAAAACCTTCAGTTTACCTAACCAAAGAAACAGAAAACGGCTTAAAAATAATTCTAAATATTTACTGAAATAATGTCTTTTAAAACTACTGAAAGGGTGCTGGCACTGAATTTATTTCTAAAAACGAATTTATAGAAATAAATAGACGTGTATTGAGAAATATGTTGCGTTCAAACTACCCGCAAAGCATATCAACCTAATTCACACCCCTTGCTTCCCTTGCCATTTCCGGTACACTAATTACGAGAAACATTATGCCATCAATGCCATTATCATTAAACCCGTCCTTCCTAACAAGTTCCCAAACTATTTTATTACTATACTGCTTCTTAAGAGGCTAATTTACTCACATTGGCCATTTCTGGCGGGAAGGGCAGGCGAAAAATATCTTCCCTTTTGTAAAGTTATTCCTGGGAAAGGACAAAACAAACAGGCCGGTGACGGATTAAGCTCTAACAACAGATCACTGGGGTAACGTCCACCACCGCCTACTGTGTGTCCCTCCACCGAGACAGGACCAAAGTCCAAGCTCTCCCCGAACCCCAAAATTCGCCCCCCGCCCCCACAGGGCACAGCTCGCTGACCACAGGAGGGCGTGAGGCTCTCAGCCCGCCCGGTTCGAGTCCGCGAATGGGACTCGACTCCGACTAGGTCGGGGTGGCCAATGAGGAGCTCCACCGGGATGGAGTCCTGAGGCTCGAAGTAGGTATTTTAACACCGGTCAGGGCTGCCCGACGACAGAAGCAAAGGTGCCAGCAGAGATGAAGGATGAGCAAGCGAAAAGGATCCTAAAGACAGAGTGCCAGGACGACTGGCGACAGCGATAGGGACCCTGTGGGAATAGAGGAAACACCGAGAGCTGCAGCCCGAAGATGGGCGAATTTGGAGGGGCTAACGCGGGCGGAAACCATACGTACCAGTCTACGCCGCCGCCTCCAGGTGTTGGAGACCCGGACTCTTCCCGTCTTCAAAATGGCGGCGCGACGGCAGAGCGGGTAGCGCCGAAGCTGGCAGTGCCCAGACTGAAGGAGTTGCTTCTGAGCACATCGATGGGAAGGATCGTCGAGCCGATGATGCGCACGCGCACAGGAGGCCCACGTAGAGCCGCCCTTCCATTGGATAGTCCCCCGCCGCGACGTGGGCGGAGATAAAGTGACGCGCGGATGACCTGGGAGCTTGGAGGCGTGAGCTCTGGAGCTGGGTTTAGGCAGCCGTTTAATTTCGTGCATTAACTCACTGAACTGAGGTATTTGAAAACCTCCTCTCTCCCTAAGACTTTCTTATTGCCTCCAAGAGGTAAAGTTTTCTGTTCATTGTGTGTGGTTTTATTTTTCAAGAAATCACTGTTTTTGAGAATAGGGCACTTAACGTTTTTCTTTATGTACCAGGCCTTTAAAATAGGCGCAATAAATATATATCTCCTTATTTATAAAGAGTATATAGGGCTTCCCTGGTGGCGCAGTGGTTGAGAGCCTGCCTGCCGATGCAGGGAACACGGGTTCGTGCCCCGGTCCGGGAAGATCCCACGTGCCGCGCAGCGGCTGGGCCTGTGAGCCATGGCCGCTGAGCCTGCGCGTCCGGAGCCTGTGCTCCGTAACGGGAGAGGCCGCAACAGTGAGAGGCCCGCGTAATGCAAAAAAAAAAAAAAGTAAAGAGTATATAATTTTTATTTGTCAATTACGTTTAAAGACAATTAACTGAAGTCCATACTTTATTCATACTGATATATTTAGTTGGGTCATGTTGGGCAAGTTAGTCTCTTTAGTTTCCTCACTTCTAAAATGGGAATAAATGGATAAAGAAGTTGTGGCACATGTATGCAAAGGAATATTACTCAGCCATAAAAAGAAACGAAATAGAGTTGTTTGTAGTGAGGTGGATGGACCTAGAGTCTGTCATACAGAGTGAAGTAAGTCAGAAAGAGAAAAGCAAATACTGTATGCTAACACATATATATGGAATCTAAAAATAAAATGGTTCTGATGAACCTAGGAGCAGGACAGGAATAAAGACAGACATAGAGAATGGACTTGAGGACACGGGGAGGGGGAAGGGGAAGCAGGGACGAAGTGAGAGAGTAGCATTGACATATATACACTACCAAATGTAAAATAGCTAGCTAATGGGAAGCAGCCGTATAGCACACGGAGATCAGCTTGGTGCTTTGTGACCACCTAGAGGGGTGGGATAGGGAGGGTGGGAGGGAGACTCAAGAGGGAGGAGATACGGGGATATATGTATACGTATAGCTGATTCACTTTGTTATACAGCAGATGCTAACACAGCATTGTAAAGCAATTATACTCCAATAAAGATGTTAAAAAATCATAAAACGGGAATAATAATAGTGGCCAACTCATAGTTTGTGAAGATTAAATCAGTTGATATGTAGCTAACACATATAGTGCCACACGTGCGCACGCACAGCTCATGGCTTGGGAGTCACAGAGGCTTCTGAGTGTTGAAGTTACTTACAATTTGTTATTTCTTCATGACTCATAATTTCTCCTTCAAAGCGGCTTACTTGTCTAGGTTATATAACAAGATTACTGGTTGAATGATGATCCTAAGCTTTTTGAGCCTGGGAGCCATATGTTATACATCTTTGCCAGGATAGAAAATCATCTGTCAGGTAGAGGTAGGAGATAAGAGGAGTCAGTGATAGGCAGAATGGCAGGAGGCTGTCAGGAGTAACTTCATAGCAGAGGTGATGCTTGATCAGTGTTTTGAAAGATGAGTAGTTGTTTGCCTGAATGCCAAGAAAAGGCATTACAGGGGTGAGGGCGTTTCAGTCAAAGGAAGCAGTTGGGACAGAGATACAGAATCCAAAACGCTATGGGCAGTTGGGGAGATCCCCAAATAGTCAAGGGATTCAGTTGGAAGTAGACAGGGGCCAAATCATAGTCAGCCTGCAGTGCAGTACTAAGGTGGATGTAACCCTGGAAGCAACAAGAAGCAACTGGGCAGATTTAAGCAGTCATGGCATTATCAGATTTGTGACTTGGGAAGATTCTTGGGTTTCAGTATAGAGGATAGGTTGGAAGGATGTGGAATTGGAACCACTGGATCAAGTGGTTAGGGGACTATTGCTGTGTCCATGAGAAAGAACATGCGAGCCTGAATTAAGGGCAGGGGGAGAGTTGAGGAATTGATACTGCATAGCTATCCATTGGTTGCAGATGAGGAAAAGGACGAGTTGAAGATAACTCCTAAATTTTCGACTTAGAATACTTGGTGAATGGAGTTGCTTTTTCTGAGATTTGGAATCCAGTAATACTAATTTGTGGAATGTATGCTATGTGATGGCACCTGTATAGGGATTTTCCCATTATTTATTTTAATTCTCACAACAATCCAGAAACTGGATGTATTATTATCCTCATGTTAATATGAAGAAATTAAAGCACATAGCTTATGTATATTTATGAAGCTTCCAGGGCTGGATTTAAATCTATGTCTGTTAGGTTTAAGAATAGTGTTTTCTTTCCCATAGTGTTGTCTCCTAGGAGTAAAACAGGTTTTAGGGGAAAGGTAATGAATTTGATTTGGGATGTTTGAATTTTAAGATGCCTGAGGGGCATTTGAAAGCAGGCCTGTTGCTCAGGAAAGTGATTTATGCTGGAGACAGAGATTTGAGGTCATTGACATATGAGTAACAGTTAAGGCCATAGGAACCCCTTAACCTGGAACTCAACAATGGGCTTTTAGGGAGGAAGGTCTGTGAGACTCCTGAAAATGTATGCAAATTGTTGTGTATTTGTAAGCAGATCCATTCTTCCCTCCCTAGGGAGAGTGCACATAGCTTCTTCAGATTCTTAAAGGAGTTCATGACTCTTAAAAGATCAAGAACTACTAGTGTAGAGTATAAAAGAAAAAGAGCAAAAGTCAGAAAAGTAGGAAATATTAATGAAAGGGGTAACAGAAGAAGAAAAAACTAGCAACGGAGACTGAGAAATTTCAGTCAGAGGGTAAAAGGAAATCAGGAGAGAGTATTCTAGGCATGAAGAAGATAACTGCTCAGTTTTACTGGATGCTACAAAAAGGTGTTATTGAGGACCAAAACCAATCCATTGTATTTGATAACTAGGGCAATGGTGACTTTGCCAGAGGAGTTTCGGTGGAGTGGGGGTGGGAGGATGAAATTTTGATAACTGTGGATTCGAAGGATGAAACACAGCCTCTTAAGGGAAGAGATTTCACCTGTTTTTTCACTGTATTCCTGGGACTTCACTGTATTCCCGCCACAGCGAGGTGATCAATAGTATTTATTGAAGGTTGAACAGATGAAGAAGTGGTGACCATTAATAACCAGGTACCATTAGTAACAGCTGCTTTTTCTTCTGTTTCCAGGCTCCATCCTTCAATAGCACTTATCCACCCAACAACCGGGCTGGGGGAGCAGTAGTGTCTCTATGGCATAAACGAAGAAACTGTGACTCAGAGAGGCTGAGTAAACTGCTTGATGCTGTACAACTACATACAGAGATGAATGTGAGATTCAGACTTGGATTTGTCTGGCTCCAAAATCTCTGTTCCTTCCATGACAATAAAACAAAGGAGAAGAAGAGCGAGAGGTGAGTATGTGCCTCTCAACTGTTATTAAATTTTCCCTTATCTATTCGCCTTCTTCCTTTCACTCTCTCTTGGGTTGTTCTTATTCTTCATAGACAAAGCAGTGCCTTCACAGAACTATAAAGATTGATCACAGTACCAGATTATGAGATTATTCAGAGGCCAATATGTAATCCTTGGGGCTTTCATTCTCATCTCACTCTCACAGCTGCTTGCATTAATACTCTCTGATAAACACATGGTTTCCTTTTTATTCTGGAAAACATCGATTCTCAATAACAAAGGATGCATATTTAAGCAAACCGAGGAATATATAGTCATCACTGAATGCCCAACTTGGAAAGACTATTGTATTGCAGCTAGCTCTTTCTGTAAAGAGAGTAGGATTATAAAACCAAAAGAGACAAGAAGGAATATTTTCTGCTCAACCAAGCATATCTAAAGCATATTAGAAGTTTGGAGACAATATTCTGTGTTATTTTTTTAAAAAAAAGGTTGCATGGAACTATTACCTGGTTGTAAGAAAATAGCATGTAAAAAGGGATAATGTTATGAGTAAAAAGGGTATGGAGAAAAGAAAAGATGTGTGAACACTTGGTTTTTATTCTTTGACTTGGTCACAGAACTCAGCCATTGAGAACACATCTTTTTAAGTTGCCTGCATCAGTGCTGTGATAGCTCTTTAGTGTTTGATACATTAAGGCAGGTATATGTTTTGGCCATTTCTAAAAACTCAAGATTTTCCTGGAAACCCCTTGTATGTTCTAGCCATCCATTGCTAGGTAGCAATATGTGGATGTTACAGAGAAATGTTACAGAGTGAATGTTATTTGTCTCTAGGACATAATGGAGGAGAGGAGCCTGTGATTTAATATTTTGGTTTTTAGTTTGAATGTGATTCATACAGTGTGTCACGGGACTGTAATTGTGATATTAGATATAGCAGTTGCCTATCTGCTCTTCTTTCTGTCTTTCTCCTTGTTGTTACGATGAAGACAATGATATTGCCTCCCTCATAGATATATGAAGGTAATCCATGTAAAGAATTTAACGCAGTGCGTGGCACTCGGCAAGTATGCAATAAATGTTAGCTGATATCGCCTTCCTCTTCATCAGCTGCATTATTGTCATCATCACTGAACTCCTCTGAACTCCATTCTCATAGGGAAGTGGTAATGTGGTAAGGAGCTTTGGTTCCCTTATATATGCACGAGGCTTATCAGAGGTGATAATACTGCCACGACCTTCCTATCTCTTTGGTACTGGGACATTGTTTGGTCTAGAGAGGAACAGGCATGGGTTTAGGTGGGACTCCCCTCAGGATGTTGGCCTGCTTTGTTTTGAGCTTCTTTACCTTGAGGTGATTATGCATGTATTTTATTTTATTTATTTATTTTTTAATTTTTTTTTAAGGGGTAAGGGTGTAGGGAACATTTCATTGCTTAGTCCAAGGGGCCCTTCTTTTTTTTAAAAAATTTATTTATTTATTTATATTTATTTTTGGCTGTGCTGGGTCTTCGTTTCTGTGCGAGGACTTTCTCTAGTTGTGGCAAGCGGGGGCCACTCTTCATCGCAGTGCACGGGCCTCTTACTATCGTGGCCTCTCTTGTTGCAGAGCACAGGCTCCAGATGCGCAGGCTCAGCAGCCACGGCTCATGGACCTAATTGCTCCGCGGCATGTGGGATCTTCCCAGACCAGGGCTTGTAACCCGTGTCTCCTGCATTGGCAGGCAGATTCTCAACCAGTGTGCCACCAGGGAAGCCCATGATTATGCCTGTATTTTAGAACTCAAAGCATGTAGACAGAGCAGAGAACAAGGATGAGGAGAAGATTTAAGCAAAAACTGATTAACCACTGAGTGAGAAGCATCTATAAGTCACATTTGGTAAACTTAGGATTCAGGCTGTGGTGATCTGGCTCCATAAAGAAGTGGAAATACTTAGACTTGAAAGGAGGGTATAAAGCTACCTGGGAGCATGTTAAAAATGCAAAATCTCTGGCTCCAATCCAAAACTACTGCCCCAGAATCTGTGTTTTAAAAAAATCCATAGTGATTCATATGTACAATTAAATTCTCTTGAATGAGATTGACTAGGAAGTGGAAGAGAGATGGTAGCATTGGGCCTTGCATAATGCAAATCGCCCCATATATATAGAATCAGAATATGTAAGGGGTGCTTCCCTGGTGGTGCAGTGGTTGAGAATCTGCCTGCCAATGCAGGGGACACGGGTTCGAGGCCTGGTCTGGGAAGATCCCACATGCCACGGAGCAACTGGGCCCGTGAGCCACAACTACTGAGCCTGCATGTCTGGAGCCTGTGCTCCGCAACAATAGAGGCCACGACACTGAGAGGCCTGCGCACCGCAATGAAGAGTGGCCCCTGCTCGCCGCAACTGGAGAAAGCGCTCGCACAGAAACGAAGACCCAACACAGCCAAAAAAAAAAAAAAAAAAAGAATATGTAACGGGCTAAGGAAGCTGCATTTTAAGAAACCTTTCAGGGAATTTTTATGAACACTAGAGTTCGAGGACCCCAAGTAAAAGATAAAAACTGTCCTGGGGAGGAGTGCAATATACACTATGAACAGTAGATGTCACTACTGTACAATTTGAAAATGACATCGTTAGCAGCCAAAAGAATTATTACAAGAACATTCTCTAAATTTGCAATGTAAAGATCTAGGGAAAATGAACTCTAATTTAAACAGAGTTGGATTTTCCTGTGATTTTATTAAAGATCTTTAGGACATACGAACAGCTTACAAAGAGTGATTGGAGATTTAGAAATTTGGGGTATATGTAAATAAACCTATTCTAAGGAATAATGTCTCAGTGTACTTGGGGAAATAAAGTGAATGTTTTGTGGTTTAAAAAACCAAACTGGATTCCACAGTCAAAGTATACAAGGCACTCAGTGACTCTTAGAATATCTTTTCCTGGCCTTATATCACAATGTTAGTTTTATACTGGGTTTGCCAGATATTTAATTTTCATCTGCAGCTCAGGGATTGAAGCCTTGTGTGCTGTCCCTGTAAACATTGTCTTTATCTGTAGACACTGCAACATGCTGGGGGACTTGGATTCAAGTTCTGGCTTTTCTGTAAAGCTCCATGTGGATCACCACGACAATTTCTTAACATCTGTGAGCCTTGAAACAGGCATAAAAAATGTCCACATAAGGGGTATCATGAGGAGGACCCAGATAATAAATGTGAAATAATTTTGAAGTGTTAAATAAATGCAAAGTATTATTTGAATGCTTATAGTGTTGGACCTTTGCTTTGATATTGGTCTTTGAAACCTCACCAAAGTACCCTTTCCATAAAAATGACTCTGGTTCTGCTAAGAGCCTGGTTATTTTCCCCAACTACATCTTTTGTTCCGCATGTAAGTTTGACTGATAAAATGTAGGATACTCAGTTACATTTGAGTTTCAGATAAACAATGCATAATTTTTTAGTGTAAGTATGGGTTAGATATTGCATGGCAATCTGGCAAATCTAACTCAAAGGCAAACTAAGGAAGCTGTTCCATGTTTCTATTTCTGTACCCGAAGGTCATCTAATTGATCAAATCTTCTATTCTACCTTGTATGGAAAAAGTCTGGCTCAAAAAATGTAGGTCTAAAAATGCTTTTGGAGAGTTATTGCTAACTGAAAGCTCACATCTTCAAAAATGTTTATACTTCCTGTCTGGAAATGGCTTGCTTGGGCTTATACACTAAAGACTGCTTGGAGGGAAATAGGGCCACTTAATTAATCCTTGGAATTATTTTTCATTTCTATTATAGTCTGTTATTCTTTTGATTTTTGGTTATTCATTAACATGTCTTTCTCTCTCCCACTGTGTGGTTGTGGGACTAGAAGGAGGGAAAGCGTGAATCTCCAAAATGAAAGCCACTCAAATGTTGGTGTATAAAAAATTCTGATGCATTTCTGGCACAGCCCTCTCTTCCCAATTATATTTCATGCAGCAAATTATGCTATTAAAGTGTATAGACTATACATAGAGAGTCCACATCCCAATAACGGACAAGAGTAAGGAGAAGGAATGGTGGGAGTGAGGTATATGCTAAGTGTTGAGAAAGAGTTATCCTGGGGAACAATTTGCAATTTCAAAGTACTTGAGGATAATACACAAAATGGGGGTTAACAAAATAAAATAAATCCAGAATTACACTTTCATGGGTATACCCTGAAGTAGAATGAGGAATAACCCTAGGAATCCTGATGTACTGAACTGCCAAGTCTAACAGGAAGCCCTCGGAGGGTAACTGCAGAAAAATGGCACCTTTTGGCTCAGCTAATGTTAACATTAGCCTATGGACACTAGGTGGCAATATATGGCAACGTGAGGATTTTCGAATTTGTGGTGGGATGCTGAATTAGCGGGGGAAGAGCTGTGAGATGAGCTTTGGTTTCCTGCTGTTAATACAGAGCCCTTCAATTTACGGTAGAATGTTCCTTCAGCTGTGATCTTATGAAACTTAAATAGGGCAGGGATCGGGTCGGATCCACCTCTAGTGTTTTCCTTCCTTTTATTTTCTTCCATTTTAAGACTGGTTACTTCACACTTCTGCAAAGTACTTAGTCTCATCGGGCATCCAAACTTGATACCTATGTCTAAATTTAGATACAGAGATGACAAAGCTGTTTAATTGGAGAGGTATTAACAGGAGAGGAGAGCGACATTGCACTGAGGTGATTTGAGCCACCAATGAGGGTTCCTGGGCTGTGTGTTCCTGTCACTAAGAACATGTAGCTAATCTGCTGACAAATTGCAATGGGAATATCTCCTGGACATGCTGAAAGCCCAGTGCCCTGTCATTTGAGTAGAGTAGGCTCTTCACCAGCCCACGGGAGTATCAATGATTAGCTTACGCTTTGGCATAAGGTTCCCGTTTTCTTTACGGTTTGATGATGTTGGTGGCATCAGTGATGCATGTTTGTTAATTGCTTAAAGAAGCTTTTGTCTTTAAAAAAATCTATAAAAGCTTAGATC